CATTAAGCCATTCTGGGACGAAGTTCTACAGAAAATAAGAGATCTCACAGGGACGGAAGGAAACCTCAACACAGAGGCAGTCCTCCTACACTCAACATCGGATCCCATAAGCACATACAGGAAAAACATTCGTAGACACCTAATCAACGCAGCCAAGGCACTAATTCCATTATACTGGAAACAAACGATTACCCCGACGATAAGACAATGGTTGGAACTGGTGGAAGAAATATATAGAGCGGAATTAATACAGGCTACACTACGAGGACTAGAAGACAAGCATTTGGAGAGGTGGCGCCCGTGGCTACTCTACATAGCAGACCGAAACACAGATAGCAACGGCCGTTCGCAACCCCAAGGAGCCCCAGGACCACCCACAGACGGGGACTGATGCCTGGTCCGATACATACTACGCCGTGGTCACGGATGACGGGACCACCTCTCCCTTCATACTCCCCTATCCCCCCTCACCCAGCTCTCCCCTCCTCTTCCCCCCCCTCCTTTTCTCTTACTTCTTCCTCAATTAACACTCATCTTCTCTTTAAAACTCCCCAACAATAGCTTCATTATAAGTTATATGATAAACGTAGCCCGCCTTAATCTGAGATTGCCCACAATTGTGTCACTCACTCACATTTGCACGTCAAAATGTACGCAAACATCCTCATCACGCAACTATACGACACGAGTAAGACAAGTCCCTGAACGACATCTGACATGACGACGGACCAATAGACCTCACTACCCCAAAGAGAATGAGGCTTAAGGGTGATAAGGTAATACTAGAGGATCACATAAAACAGACGCAAGGCACAAACTTATGAATATCCCTCTATTCAAGCCGCATTCCGATCACTCATATGTATGTCTTAACGTGTTAAACGTGACCAAATGTCATATAGAAATACTAAGTAACATTGTTTGAGTGTTGTCTGCACACTTAATGTTGGGACCTGCGAGTCCGTTATTTGTTATTTACTTGTTCAATCAACTGATACTTGCTAATGTACACGGATCAGGGCATACCCTGAAATGCTTATGTTTGAATAAAGCCTTTTTTGAAACATATTTCTATACACTGATTTAATCTCAATACAAAACTCTTTTCTATATCAAGATTAAATTGCATGAATTACACCAATATTATTATATATGAAATATAATTTCAACTTAAACGATCTCAGCAGTGTGCCTCCAATATGTGGGGATATTTATGGGATAATAATAGCAAACAGTGAGAATTGCCCACTAATTCAATTCTCAGATCCCAAAAATCGTTATCGTGTTAAGTGAAATGTATTTCATATAGATAAAATCACAATGTTATAAAAATAGATTTTATTTTTTATGACCAATAATTAACAAATAATATTATGTAACATGCGTGACAATAATCAATGAATATCCAGTATAAAATTATATGCAATACAATGGAATGGGTATACACGTTTCAATGGCTAAACAGCATTTTCTGTCAAGACTTACACGATTTATGAGGTATCCTTACAGACACAGAAAGAATGAAAAAGTTTCACACAGAGAACAGAATTCCTCAGAGTGTAGCGTAAGGTCGTAAAGTTTAGCTGACAGTTAGAATAACCCTTTCAATGCTGGCTAGACCTCCTAGGTAATTAAGATCTATTCTTATGTAATTTTAAATAAAATAACATTTAAACCAGTTCATTAGTCATTTCCTGGAACCATCCAATAAGAATAATCTACCAGATTTTTACAAAAGCAGAATTTTAATTTGCCTAAAAAGATATCTTATCTTATATTAGAGCAAATCAATACACCTGGATAAAAACAGCGGTATGCTAACATGTGATACCATCACATCAATATATATAATTATTCTTAATTCCACCTGCAGAATGGAATGTTTATAACTATATATTCTTTAGTTAACTAAGATTTCTAAATATGGAAATCTGACCGTGATTTATCCAGTCATATATCATGCTATTAGTAAATTTTAATTAATTTAATTAATTAAATGAAACCAGTATAATTACCAGTTGAGTAGATATTTTCATCAAATTGGTAGTCTCAGGAACTTGTTTGGATGTCTCTCTGCATGGAGGTGCGTGGCTAATAGTGAAAAGTAGTGTTGGTTAGAAAGTGTCAAAGAGTTTGTGAGTTGAGTGTTAGTCTCAGATGTTGTCCTGGGTTTCTCTGCATGTCCGAGTTGGAGTCCCCAAACTTCCAATTCCTCTTCCCCGCTCCTCTCTTTGTCTTAACTTTTAAAGGGCCAGACTCTCTGTACGTCATTAGTTGATAACCCAATAGGAAGCCATAGGTGTGTCCAATCTAGGGATCGCGATTTAGGTATTTGATCCATAGATGGCAGTCTCGTCTAACGAAACCTTCCTATCCAGGAAAGAGTTAACTTTTCCTGATGGTTATTTTGACGTCATTTTGCTTTATCTTTATGGTTGCCATAACTTAAGTTTTCTTTCACTTCAAAGGGTTTTCTCTTAGTTTTGTCCAGACTTAGTGTCCGCAATTCCTGCTATAATTTCTAATATGACAG